AGTGTCTAGTTGAGACAGCTTTTAGGAATCATCTAAATTGCCGTAGACTTATAGTAGTTGCAAACAAACTTGTTTACTATTTATAGAGATAATCTTCATCACTTAGGTATGAGAAATACGGAACATGGTTCCGTTGAAACCATCATCCTGGCATAATCATCAGACGGGATACTCTCGATAGGTCTCTCATCCGAATGATTGATGTCGAATTCGGCAAGCGCCTTGTCAACAGCGGCCATCTTCTTGTCCATATATGTTGATGGATCACAACAGAGGGTCGTCCTCAGTTTCGGAGTTGTCGACTTCGCGCTTGCAACATGGTTGCCATTCGCTTTCTTCTTGCGATCTGCCTTGACCGCAGCGTTGAAAACTTTCCTTCATGAGGAACAGAAGTCCTTTTGGTTTGGTCTTGCGTCGTGTACTTGCGTTTCCAAGTCTTTTCTTGTGTTACGCTGGCATTGTTATCGTTGCTCAGACGAGGACTGAGACTTGGCCTTGAGCTTGCTTCACGAGTAATGCAGTCAGCAGTGTTGTGAGCTGCTGGACTCGTGTTAGTCACACCATTTTTCTTCGTTCTTGGAAGATGATCGTTGTTGCGAGTAGACTTGTATTCTTGCTGTTGTTCTTCTTCGAATTAGCTGCGTTGTATTCAACCGCCCTTGTCAAAGATCTCGGAGTGATTCCATGCGTTCGCAGAGTCCAATGGTTTCTCCGATAGGAGCTGAGAAAGATCGAAGTCGTGTTCGCCCACTTCTTCATCCACGAGCGTGGCATTCCATGACAAACAATGTCAATGTCTTCTGTCATGGTTCAACTTTGGTTGGGTCCAAAAGTGTGGTAGACGAGGAAGTTCATCGTGTTCATCCGAGTGAGGTTTGATGAATAGGCGCCGAGTTAGACATTATCGCTAGGCTTACGGATCTTGCGGCGAATGGGAAAGCGGGTTTTTTTCTTTGGCTTTTTTTCAAGAGCCTTGTAGCGAACAGACCGCTTCGACACAGGCATTATGCCAAACGTAATGTACGTGTCGTCCAAAGCAGGCTGGGCTCTCCGTTCCAGGCATTCTGGAAACGGCTTGGAAATCGGCTTCGTCTTCACCACCACGTACTGCGCTGGAGGAATGCCGTTGACTCAATCTGGCGCAAGACAATCTCAACGTAGTTCACAGTGGCTGCACAGCTAGATTCGTAACTGCTCTTGGCAGAGCTAGAGGTCATTCCTTGAGGAGGTTTATTTTATCGGTAGGCGTAGCAAATGGCGAGCCCCAACGGAGACCTCTCCATGCGTCCAGCCCCATTGTGGCTCTGACGTGGAGTCTCAGATCCATTATTATTTGTGACCTTGTAAGGTGTACTTGCGCTGTTAGGCATCTGCTGGAAACAGAGTGCGAAGTTGTGTAGGTTGTAGAGCGAGAAACAGTCGATTTCGCATCTCATCACGAGGTCGATGAGAGGAAGGATAGGTTTGTCAGCGCAGACTTAGACTCGAAGCTTGTGTAAGCGTCTTTGGCAAACTTCATGGTGAGGAATAGGTGAGGTAGCTGAAAAGCTATTGGTTTGTTAACAAAATGCACTCGCTAAAAGCTAGTGTAAAGATCTTTCGAGTTTTGAGTTTGAGAGAATGAAGTAATGAGAGTTTTAGAAAGCTATGAAACTAATCAACGAGAGAGATCCACAACCAAAGGATCGTAGATCTGAACACCCAGCGGGAGACTTTAGAGTCGTGATAGAGAGGTTGCCGGTAGCAATCCACTCACTCCACATCCAAAAACGGAACGCGTAGAAGATTCGTTCTAGCATCTTATCTAGTAGCGTGAGTAAGTACCCACGCTGGCAAATATCTAGAGCGATGTTTCATCATCAACCTAGTATGACTAGAGCGGTCATTGAGAACCCTGTCTCAATGACTATTCACGAGAGACTCAGTCATGAGTCGAACTCAAACCCTATCTAGGATCGAGTCGCGAATAAGGCTAAGAGCCGTGTATTGCAGGAAGATGATTTCGAAGGATCGTGAACAGAGGCCATTGCACCGCGGCGTTGTGCCCCAAACCCAATAAGGGTGGATCCAATGGAGGGCGTCTTGATCAAACAAATAAATAAAGTCTTCGTCAAGTGTAACGTGAGATTGATTCGATAAGGTAATCCGCATGGGATGATACTCATCCGGTTGGAGTTCCATTTGGAAGACCAGCGAGTCCGCATTGTTGGAAATAGACGTCACGCTTCCGATCTCGAACATGAAGTATTCGACTTTCTCGAGTTCCTCATCGGGGACAGTGATTGGCTCGCTATGAGCAAAATGAAAAACCGAGTGGCCGACCGAATGACAAAGGTGACCGATAGTCAATCCATAGCATTTGGTGCCTTTAGGGTTTGCGAAGCAGAACGACAAAGTCGCCCCTTCTCCTTTGTCGTTCAGCACCCAATCGCCACCAGTCAAAGGGCCGTCATCTGCACTACGCACTTTTTTGGTTTTGTTGGTAGCACGGCTGGATCGGTCTGGTGTCCATTGCCGATCGACTGTCCGCAGATCACAAGCTACTGGCTCTTCACCCGCCGCTCTTGTCCTGTCCGCGGCTTTTGTGAGTCTCCATGGTTCACTTTGTTGTTGTAAGGTTGCAAGTATCGTCGATTGGGGTAGATCGCTGGTTGGTTTTTGAAAATGTTGGACAACAATCGACAAGCACGATAATTGCGCCTCCGATCGTCCACGCTACAAAAAAAAGTACGAGGTGCAATTTCGCTGGCAAGAACATACTACCTGGTATTAAAATAGTATAATACCGACGCATTGAAAAACTCTGGTATTGTAGCTGGGGAGTGGAATAATGGAAAAACACAAAAACAAATAATGCTACGGCCTGTTGCCCCTTGTTGTTCTGCATGTGGCTGTAACATTTGTTTGGTCATTTTACCATGTTCCCATTGAGAACAAGCGCTCCCCAAGTGACAACAGGGGGTTCAACCGTGTTTTGGCAAAATGTGAGCTCAAAATGTGAGGCTTAGTTTTAAACTAGATGGCCGGCTCTCCAGTCACAGAATTTAGCCGTTGCATCCAAAGTAAATCGCATCCAAAGTAAATCGCATCCCACCATGGGCATCTATTTTCGTTCATGTGTGCACGATCAGTCAACATGTTGTTACTGTTGACACCTTTCCGCGAGTGCATGTTGATAACTCCACTCGTTCCGTGAACTCTTCTCACAACAAGCAAGATCAATATTTCAGCTTCCGAATGAAGTTTCCACAATGATGCAATGCCTCTTTATCAGATGGGATCGATATTTGGGGACCATGAGTTTCCCTTCCTGTCTATGTTGATTGCTTGAGTGAGCTCAAACTCACGTCGGATTCAACGGCAGAAGATCGCATCCGAATCAGTCGGAGGCATCTTCATTCTTCATTCTTCGGCATCTCATTATTTTGGCAATGGAAACAGCAAAGCCCTGCCAGAATGACCTCTCAAGCAGTTTCAATCGACCATGGGGATCGGCCGTTCGCTTTCTTGGACCATGATGTGGGAGCTGACACCATCGCCAGAAGATCCAAGATGTGGCCGCTCGAAGATCTCTCTCATAAATCGGTCAAGGGACTCTGCTGAAATCAAATCGATCCTCGGATTGACCGGCCATGGCCCTCTGCCGTTCAGTCATTGGGGTTCTTCTTGTTGGACTGCTTCTACACTCTGCTACATCCTCGTTGTCCTCGCCGTCGTTTTACAAGGATCCTTCATCTTCCGATCCACGCTGGGAACTTCCGTCGGATTCCTTCGCTCCTTCGTCAATCTTCCGTCTGACGCCCAATCCCCCACCATGGCCAAGGGCAAGCGCAAGGGCGGTGGCAAAGGCTTCCACAGAACCAAGAGCAAGAAGCACCGGTCCAAGGATGAAAGGGCTGTGTGGGCCCGACAGCAACAACAGCAAGGCGCCTTGCAGACTCCCCATGCAGTCACTCCTCATGTCAACACTGGTCCCTTCCACAATGAAGATATTGATGATGTGCTTCCTCCTCCCACCACCTCCCTTCGCTCTGCTGCTCGCAAGCCAACCACGGAGCAACCGGATGATGAACGACTGAATGAACTCTTGGGTCCCCCTTCGGATGATGAGCATGAACCTCCTTCCGACGATGATGATGCAGCAGCAGCAGACCTTCGTCTCACTCCGGAAGAGATGGAATCTTTCCTGAATCAGCAATCCTTTCTTCACCATGACCGTTCAGAGCGCATTGCAACTTACCACCTCTATTGCCGGGTGCACAACTTCCCTTCGGATTGGACTGGAAAGGGGAGTACTGGATTGGCAATAAAGGTTGCTCTTGGGATGAAGACGCGGAAGCCAATCAAGAATATCTTCGGAGACATCAATTACTGTGCCAAGAATGACCTTGAGTATGTTGGTCAGCGATTCTATTCACGGTTCAAGCCCGTCAAGATTCCTGATGGCTCCAAAGCTGCTGAGACTCTCGCTACTTTGATTGAGTCGCGAGGAGACAGTCTCCGAATTGCAACCGACACACTCAATGAATGTCGAATTGATGATGGTGTGGAGCCGTACTCTGATTCCGCTGTCCGTGAATTGGTCCAGCATCTCCCAAGCCGGAAAGTTCCCATTCGGAAGATGAAGCAAGGGAACCACGACAAGAACTCTCTATGGGCTCAATGCCGCTTTGCCTGGGATTATCAGTTGCTACTTCGACTCGGCGTGGAGAAGGAGATTGAGCCTCATGATCTGTTCGAGCTTCCACCTTCCGTCCTGGAGGTGCCCGAGACTCTTTTGGACGAAGAGGAGCTCAAGTTATACGAGGAGGATGGGACTCTGCCGGTTTACTTTGATCCTCAAGCGCTGTTTACTTATCGTTTTGGTCTGCAACATGTCGCTTTTTGGGATGAGATGCATCGGAAATGTATCATTGGAACCAGCCACGCACAAGTCGATCGTGATTACCAGCTGCAGTTTCTACGTGATGCGGATGGCAACTTGGATCCGAATGGGACTTACGATCAAGCGTCGCCTGCTCACAAACTGAACGTCAAGTTTGACAAGGAGGGTCGTTGGAGTTTCGGAATGGCAATGGTCGTCGATGACAACGGTGGCCAAGAAGGATACGTCTTGGAACCATTCGATTATACTACCAAGCTTCTCGTCTCATTGAAGCAATACCGCAAGCTTGTCAAGGAGGAGATTTCCCGTGTCAAGAAACTGGGTGACCGTCCAGCCAAGTCCATTGGTTGGTTCGAATCGTCTCATGAGAATGACAAGCTCTACATGGACGACTATCTTTGTCAAGGCGTGATCAAGGGATGCGCCAAGACAATCCTTGGCTTGGGAAGATCAAATTCTTTGAGATCCACACCATCCGTGATTTTGCTGAGGCCTCCGACAGTGACATTACTCGAATGTCAAATGGTAGCCGAACATTACCGAGCATCTGGAAAGAACAATACCAAAGTTCCAAACTGACGACAACAGACTACAAAGTAATTAGGCCTTTGAATAGCGTTGAATCGACCGTTGAGTCTCATCCATGCACTACTATGTGGAAATTTAACGACCTCGGTCCCCCTTTTTGCTCCTCCCGGGTGGTGGCGATCTCCACCCTCCACAGGGACGAAACTGTGTTCCCGCACTGGAAGGCAATGTCTTCCACGGCGATTGCCCACGCTCCATTCAGTGCAGTTCAGCCAGCTGAAGCTCGTTATTGACAATAATAGAATTCTATTTATTTATTTTTATATGGCTACTCTGAGTACGACTGACCACCGTGCCGCTACCCTAAACCGATAACCCCCACCAACATTGAGGCGGAGAGAGTTGACCCCCTCAGTCGGGAAAGTTTAAAACCCAACCAAGGCAAGATGCATTGGGGATCGGGGGACTTCCTGCATCATTGAAGCCCAGGCAAAACTTTTGTAGTAATAAGGGTTTCAAACACTACGGTATCACCAACTACTAGCTAGAAGAGCAAAGACAGGACCGAATAAAACCTAGATCCTACATGTAGTATACTTGTTTCAAACTTATTTCCACGAAGTAACAGCCAATGACTACCCATCCGATAGATAGAGATCTTGGCTAGCTGGCTGTGCCACAACGGTAAATTTCCCCATCCAAGAAAAAGGAACCTATTGTCGAGGGTCGGTCCAAGGTCTCATTTTGCTGAGTACAATGTCATCATTTCAGCCCTGCCAAAACAAATTTCAATGGCAAGATAGATAAATAAATGTGCTTTTTGGTGCCCCGTGTCACTGCCAAGCAGGATTCAAAAGAAGCCAGTTGAGGCACGAACAACAGTCGACCGTTCCCTTACGGTATGCATCTTTGCTATCGTCCTCAATTTGTTGCCCTAGACCTCACACAACCAAGTCCAGAATTCCACCTCTTCTCTGCCTAAACCTAGCAGGGGGCCAGCTTCCAATAGATGATTGAGTCGCTCTAAACCTCCCTTTCATTCCCCCCATAACATCGGCAGATAAACTGCCTGAGTTCTCAACCCCTTTTTAAACTGCTATTTCCTATTTCCTATTCCAGTGAAGCCAAATTATAAGGATAGAGATAATCATAAGCCAACAAAACTGAACATTGATGGTTCAATACAAGTTAGGGGTAGGAATAAATCATTAATATTTAAGGTTAGTGCACTCAGCACAAAAGCACAATAAGCCAGCAGGAGATGTAAAGGTTAGAGTTACAATAATGGAATGGCAGCTGTAAAATTATGGTTAGTGGGCGGCAACACACGACGAAGTCGAGTGTTGTCGCCAGGGCTTCCTTGAAAGAAGGGTGCAATCTCAAACATGATCATCCTTCTTCTATTTGTCTTTCCGCCGAGGTATCGCAGCTCCCGCTGACTTATTGGTGCCGTTTACCTCGGCAGTCTATCTGCCTGAGCCCTCTACCCCTTTCTTGGCAAATATTCTGTCTGTGGGATCCCCTTGTTTTGTGTCTGTGGGATCCCCTCATTTCCTGTCTGTGGGATCCCCTATTCCGGTGAAGCCAGGGTATAAGGATAGAGATAATATAAGCTGGCAAAACTGGAAATTGAAGGTTTAATAAAAAGTTAGGGGTAGGAATATATCAATGAAATTTAAGGTTAGTGCACTCAGCACAAAAACACATGCACTACGCTAAAAGCTAGTGTAAAGAGATCTTTCCGATTGTGTTTTGCAGTTTGAGAGAATGAAAGTTATGAGAGGATTAGAAAGCTATGAAAACTAATCAACGAGAAGATCACACAATCAAAGGATCGTAGATCTGAACCCCGCGGGAGACTGTAGAGTGTTATAGATAGGTTGCGGTAGCAATCTTACTAACTCCACGATCCAAAAACGGAACGCGTGGAACATTCGTCTACCATTTATCTAGTAGCGTGGAATTCTCTCCACGCAGCTAAATATTCGGTTAGCGCATGTATACGACCTATCTGGGTTCCGATGGCCTGTGAGTATGACTATTGCGGTCATTGAGAACCCGTGCTCTCGTACATGACTATTTCACGAAATGACTCGGTCATGAGTCACACTCAAACCCTATCTCTGATCGAGTCGCGAATAAGGCAAGAGCCATGTATTTATGCATTCCGCCCCCCCTGACAAGTGGGTCACGGAAGCGCACGACATTCAGTCGGACAAGCGATACTGGCAGAATACATGAATTAAGAGATTGCGGATTGTGCACTCTTCCTATATATGTAGACATGTTAGTCGCACGATGGCAATCCTAAAGGGTATCAGGCCTTGTATAGGTTTATATAGGTATCCTTATGTTCCAAGTACTGCATTGTTTTTTCTGTTGATTGTGATTTAGACTGTGCTCGCTATGCATGTATCTCGTTTCTTGGATGTTGTTCTATGTTGACTCCACCTGGTAGTATGTCCCGTACAGTGTCATTGTTATTTACTCTCCCTCTGCTATCATATTAGACACATATACATGTGTCCTCTGATGCTACATACATCT